CGGGTACTTTATGTTTACTTGTTTTGTTCGAGAATAATTGTATTTTACAAATAAACAATATTATTATTATTATTTCGGCTAGTTGAAGTCCAAATCACCGAGGACTTCATGTTTCACGAACACATCTTGTCAGTAGGGGAAGTTGCTGGAAAAAAGCTAGGCTGTTTGCTTAGGACTAAGAAGTACGTTTCTCCACATGACATCCTCATTCCGTACAAGACCCATATAAGACGTAGCCTCGCCTCGAGTACTGTTCACATCTATATTATTATCATTATTAATAATAATAAACAATAATAATTTATTTCATTGTTGAATAGAACAGAAAATTCTATAACAAATGACAAGGTTATAAAGATAGTAGTGACGAGTTGAAAAAGTATAAAAACAGATCTAAACAAGAAACTCCTCCAAGGTGTAGAAACATTTGTCTATCAAAAAAAGTTTTAGTTTTCTTTTGAAAGCAGCTCTATATTTGATTCATTCCTAATATCATCATTGAGCTTATTAAAAATCTTACATCCCATAAACCTGCATGTTTTTTGATATGCCGTAGTTCGATGTCTCGGTGGGATTAAAAGCATTTTAGACCTAGTTGGATATTCATGCTGGTGTTTGATGACTTCAAATTCGCGATTATTTTTGAAAACAAACAAAGCCACTTCATAAATGTAAATACCAATAACAGTCAACATCTTTAGTGTTCTAAAAGATTCTCTACAGGATTGGCGCCAACCAAGGTTATCAATAATTCTAGTGGCATATTTTTGCAGCAAGACAACTCTTACAGTTAGTGAACCTCTTCCCCAATTGAGAATACCATAACGGATATGGCAGTTGACAGTAGCATAGTATAAAGTTTTTAAAATTCGTTTACTGCACTGCATTGCTACGGATTTCAAGCCATAACAACTCCTTCGCAATCTATTGCATACATACTCAAGCATGTTAACTGAATTAGATGATGGAATAGCTCTGTTAGTATGATCAAAAATGTTGAAATCTTGTTCATCTTTTAATACGAATTTCAAAATGCTGGTCTTATCTGTGTTTACTTGGAGGAAGTTATTTTCAGACCACTTAATGATTCTGTTGTATGCTCTCTCAGTCATTGCCGGCAGCTCGGTGATGTTTGGACTGATAACCAAGATATTGGTGTCATCTGCATATGCCACAACCTTATATTCTGGACCACCTTCAGATATAAAGCCGGACAAATCGTTAGCATACAACAGAAACAAAAAAGGTCCTAGAATTAAACCCTGTAGCACACCGATGTTTGCTTCTGATGTTTCACTTTTGGTACCGTTCACCCAAACGCGTAGTTTTCTTTGTGTAATATACGAGCGAAACAGCTGCAATGGTAAGCCACGTATTCCATACCTGTGCAGTTTGAAAAGAAGTAGCTCATGGTCCACATAATCAAACGCACGAGAGAAATCTATGAATAAACCACATATATGTGAGAAATGGTATTGCTTTCAAAATATTGCACTCTAATATCACCACAGTATTGGAAGAACTTTGGATCTCTGTAAAGGTTAATCAACGCAAATATTGTCTAGCTATAGTCTACCGTCCACCATCGGCAAACGTGCTTGACTGTTTTCATCAATTAACTGAGTCTTTAACCAACTTTTCACTCGATAATGATTACGCAATTGTCATGGGCGATTTTAATATTAATGTTTTAGTGAACGACGGCCGATCCGAGATGCTGAACTGTTTTCTTGAGTCTTTTGATCTGTCTCAGTTAGTGAAAGAGCCCACACGTATAACTTCCAATAGCCAGACAGCTATAGACTTGCTCATGGTTAGCTCTGCTGATATAATAAGTGGTTATGAAGTTGTTGACGTAGATGGAATATCTGACCATCTAGCCATAATATTTTATGTAGATGCATCGGAGATAGGCAACCTATGTAAACTGAGGACATATCGTGATTACTCTACCTTTAGCCTAGACAATTTCTACCATGATTCACTCTTAATAAACTGGGATTTTATATATACGTTGAGAGATGTGGATCAAATGATTGACTTCCTGAGTTCTAATATCTTGTGCACCTTCAACTTGCATGCTCCTGTCAGAAACATTCGAGTTACCAAGCCACCAGCTCCTTGGCGAACATTCAACATAAAACTCATGATGCGAACAAAAAGTGACGCATATAAAAAATTTAAACGTACAGGAACGATTGCTGCCTGGGAATTCTATAAGAAAATCAGAAATTATGTTTGTGGTGCTATTAGGCGAGAGAAAAAAGCCTACCTCGATTATGTTATGAGACATAAAAATTCGAAGACTACATGGAATATACTTAGATCTTTGAATATCGTTAAACATAACTCCATAAGTCTACCTCCACATCTTCAGGATCTCGATTCATTAAATAGTGCTTTTTTAAACGTACCTCAAACAACCAAATCATTAACTCAATTGAACCTTTCAGACAAATATGAAAACGTCAAGAATAGTGGTACTTTTCTGTTCACGACAGTTTCCCCTGCCACTGAAGAGAAATTTATCAATCGCATTAAAAGTCATGCTAAAGGCTCAGATGGTATCACAATTGATATGATCCGTATAATACATAAGCATTTGCTCAAGTATATTACCTTCATTATTAACTTTTGTATAACAAATAATCTTTATCCCTCTTCCTGGAAGAATGCTCTTGTTCTCCCTGTGCCTAAATCTAATTATCCTTCAAGTTTTTCTGATCTTCGTCCTATAAGCATTTTACCAAGTTTATCTAAGCTTTTGGAAATGGCTCTACATGAGCAGCTGCACACATTTGTTTGTCAAAATAATTTACTGACCACCTCCCAATCTGGCTTCAGACCATTACATAGCACCACCACTGCGCTCCTGTCTATATCGGATAATATTTATAGCGCGGCTGATCAAGGAAAGCTGTCCTGGTTAGTTCTTCTTGATTTTAGCAAGGACTACGGTTGACCCAAATATTCTCTGTAAAAAGCTTAGATACTTTGGCCTGTCATCATCGGCTTACACGCTGATTAAGAGCTTTTTAACTGATCGCTCACAGTCTGTCATATATGAAAACAATATATCAACTTCTTTATTCAGAAATTTTGGTGTCCCTCAAGGATCTATTTTGAGTCCCCTTTTATTTGCTCTTTATATATGTGATTTTCATGAAACCGCCAGCTACTCAATCGTTCATCATTACGCCGATGATACCCAACTTTATAACTGCTTCGATCCTGATCAATATATGCTTGGCCAACATCAAATCAATCAAGATCTGCAGTCTATTTTTGACATATCTAGTGCTCACAATCTAAAACTAAATCCTGGCAAATCATGCTGCATTTTATTTGGGCCCAAAAAGAATCGTGAAATAAATCAATATCGCATTAATATTATGGTGAATAATGAAGACATATCCTTCGTAAACGAATGCAAAAACCTTGGTATCTGGTTTGACTGCAAGCTGCGCTTCACTAAACATGTTAACCAACTATGCAATGCGTCCTATAATGTGCTTCGTCAGTTATACCCGAGTCGAAGTGTCCTGTCGACACAGCTCAAGCTTAAACTCTGCGAGTCCCTTATCCTGTCAAAATTATCTTACGGTGACTCTGTTTATGGACCTGCTCTTTTACAACGTGATGCCGAGCGGATTCAGATGATACAAAACTCATGCATCAGATTTTCTTATGGAATCCGTAAATTTGATCATATTAGTAGCGCTTTTGACCAATCGGGATGGCTTAAGATGAACAAATTGAGGAAACTGCATTGCCTATCTCTGGTATATAAGACCCTTATCCTTAAAGCGCCATATTATCTTTATACGAAACTAAGCCTCCTCTGCCAGTACGATCAAAGATCCTCTAGGAATAAACTCATCTTACTTATCCCGCGGCATTCGACAGCATTGTTCACACGCAGTTTCTCGTACTGGGCACCCAAACTATATAACTGTTTATCAAGTGAGTATAAAGAATATAGCCTAAGCAATTTTAAAAAAAGGTTAAAGTTGAGTTTATAGCAGTCGGATGCCTAAAATTTTACTTTATGCATATCCACAGGTAATTGATTGTTTCCTTTCTCTGATAAGTGTTATATTCTAAGTTTTTTTTTCTCTCTCTCTATAGTTTGTGTCAATGTTTTCCAGGTCGGGTTGAAAAACAGCATAAGCTGACACTCCACCTTTTCGTCACTGTTCCTTTTAAACCAATTATTTTGTAATCGTGTGACGAATAAAGGCCATTTATTATTATTATTATTATTATTATTTGTTTTTTATGATCTAGTGCAGCCACAATATCTACAAAACTATACAATGCTGCTTCAGTGCTCCTTTAACTAATGAACCCATGCTGACTATCTGATATAAAATTATTTTTGCTACAAAAATCCACTAGTTGATTCTTCATGTTGAGTTCAAACACCTTAGATATATACGTACTTGAAAGCAAGCTAATGCCTCTACAATTGCCATAGTCATTTGGATCATTCCTTTTGTAGATAGGTATGACCAAGGCTAGTTTCAAACAACTTGGAAAAGTTTCCTGTTCACAAGAAAGGTTAATTAGGTATGCTAAAGGCGAACAGATCTCCACGATACATTTTTTGAGCAAATTATTTGAAATTGAGTCAAAACCACTCAAGTTAGAGTTTTTCAACTAAGAAACCAGATAGCACACATCATCCTCTGTAACTGGTGACAAATACATCGACTTAGAAAGCATTTTAATCGTAGTACTGGGAAGGTTCTTATCGGCAGTATGGTTTTTCACATCTAATGTAAAATGCTCATTAACTTTTTTTGCTAAAATTTGATCTAGTACTTGTTCACCATCCTTAGTTATATTTATAGTTTTCTTAAGATCCCTTTTTTGTATGTTATTAATAATCTGCCATGCATTTACTACGATTGCTTGAGGAATCGATTTTAGAATCTATACATTGTTGCCTATATTTACTAAGTTGTTCTCTATAAGTTTTTGTAACTTGCTCTTTGTACCTGTCATCAGCCTTTGCCAAAGAATGAAAGAATGACATAACGTAACCCTGTCTCTCATTTCTACTAACTCGACTATAAGAACCACTTTCTTCCGACTTTCAAGGCGTATCCTTCTATAAGGAAATGAAACATTGAAATGATACAAGAGAATGTTAAAAAATATATCACAAGCGCTTTCCGTAGAAAACTGTTGGTTAGTATATTCTGTTCAGAAAAGCCTCAAATATTTGAATACTTATTTGCTTCGTTGCACTGCACTTTAGATACCCGGATATTGAGAATTATACAGTAATGGTCAGACAAACAGTGATCCACAATAGATACATTAAAATCCTTATCAAAATTCACTAAAAAGTTATCCAAACAGCTGTTGGAGTAAGTTGTAACTCTAGTGGGAACATTTATTATGTGACTCAAACTGTAACAACCCATGACTTTTTGCAGAAAATGTAAATTATTATTATTTGATAAAAAGTCTACATTAAAAGCGCCACAAATCACAACTCGTCTATTATTGATGCCAATGAAATTTAGCAGTCCATTCAATAGATTTAAAAATACATAAAAGTTACCAGACGGTCGTCGATAAACACACACAACAGTAATATTAAAACTTTCTAAAATGATACTACAACATTCACATATACCTTCAATACAAAATTCCGAGACATCAACTACCTTATTCTTAACACTAAGGCCCAATTTCACCAACATTAATATTATGGGCCAATGGGAAAATACCTTATCAAAATGCAATTTGGCAGAAGCTGTAAAAGGTCTCTGAATATCAGTGATTCTATTAAAATATTGAATAAAATCGCGAAAATTCGACTGTGCTATAAACAAGACCACTTTTTGATTCCATCATGATGCTTTTGTACAGAGAAAACAGGATAACGTTCATGGATTTTGATTACCGTTATAAATTTATATTTAACTATCATTTATCCCCAAAGCCAATGGGAATGCGGCAAATGATAGGTCGATTTTCTAGCTGTTAAATTTGGCAGCAGATTTGGACGTTTGTTAATGCATGGCAATCTCGAATTTAAGTTGAATATACTGTTATCATTACATACCTGTTGAATAGTGTGGATTTGTCTGTATTTTGCAAGAAAATAGAATATAAGATACATTCCATCCAATTCCTCATCTTCCTTTACATCATAATAGTAATCATTTATTAATTTACGGGTTAATGACTTTCTTCAGAACAATAAAAACATTGTCCTCTCCATCCTAAAACACAGATAATATGTGTAAGACGTGTCAATCCCTACATCTCCGGGATGCATAATTCAATTACTATGGACATAGACAAAAAATTACGAAAAATGTCTCACAAATAATATGTCTTTTAAGTCCAAGAATCATAAAAACTAATAATGTTTATTGTTTGATTGCCTATTTCACTGGTGGGGTTATCTACTTGTCACTCGCAGGGTTGCCAAGTCTAACGTCGATCACGTCCCGTGGTGGAGGGTGCGACATTAATCTTTTACATTTGCTGGTTTTGAATTTAAAGTAGGAATACAAACATAGAGCTTATGGTAGTTGGAGCTAGACTGATAACACTTCTTTAAAAATATTTGAAAAGTGTGAACCATCATGGTCTGTTGTCAAATTGCAAATGAAGTATCTGAAAATTCTTACATACTGTGGACCTTCGTCATAGTTTACTATCCTGATTATGATCATCTTTGGCAGATGTGTTGTATCATCAAATTGATAAACAAATATAAGAAAGCTCTTATATACCTACATACAGCGGATTTTTCATGAAAATTTACTAGGTATCATGATTAAAAGCATCTTTGGTGGATTGTTCGATCCGGAATGGGAAAGATCTCCGATTTATAAAAATATTTTTGGTATCATCTAACCGTTGCAATCAGTGCACAAAAACGGTAACATATGATATATAGCATAACCCGCTACCCTATCAACACAAATTTAACATACAGGTCGCCTAGCCGTGGAGATGCAGTGGTCGAGGTAGCAACACTGATGAATTTGAAGACTGTACAATTTCTTTGAAAATGATGAAAGATATATCTGATTTGGCAAGGTAATGTAGCAGCCAAATGGTAGTCGGTCTTTCTGGACGCTGCCCAGGTAGATTGAAAAGAGCTTGTCACACAGTAGCCTTCCACACTTACGTGTCAGGATGGAACAATTGTAACTTACTCGAAGGCCAAGGCTGAAGTGCTTGCCAAGATCTTTGCTGCCAACTCCACCATGGACGCCCCCCAACAAAACTTCTGGTCCGGACTTCATTGTACTGAAGAGGTGTGCAGCGGAGCTTGCTCCAGTTCTTTCGCGTTTCTTCCAGATAACTGATGAATCAAGAAAACTGTAAATTTGTTCATGTCCAACCCATCCCAAAAACAACATCTGAAACCGAGCCTTTCAACTACAGGCTCTGCTGTCTGTTTTAAGTAAGGTGATGAGAGGTGCATAAATCGTGAGGTTCTGGACTACCTCGAACGTCTCGGCTTAATCAGTGACAGGCAGTATGGTTTCCGACAGCAGCGATCCATAGGGGACCTCCTAGCTTACGTCACGCAATTGTGGAGCAAGCTAATCCAGTATTACGGTGAGGCTTATGTCGTCTTGATATCACGAAAGCGTTCAATCAGCTGTGGTACGCTGTCCTTTTATGCAAACTTCCATCTCATGACCTCCCAGAAAGGCTTTGCAGATTGGTTACTGAGTTTCTCTCTGGCCGCAAGGTATCCGTCGTGATTGATGGGATCTCCTCTTCATCCCGCAAGGTCAACGCGGGTGTTGGCTCCGACACGGTTCTTCTTGCATATCAACGACCTCCTTTCCTATACGATCAACCCAATCCACAGCTTCGCTGATGACAGCACTCTACATGCAGGAATTCAGAGTGACAAGGCGATCTCTGCAGCTGAGCTGGAAAAAAGCAGATTAGCGATGACTTCCTCTCTGACGAGAGACCTAGAGGTTATCGCTGCTTGGGGACGCAAAAATCTTGTACAGTGTTATGCTTCCAAAGCGCAGTACTGTACCGTGACGAATAAAAAGCGTCCTATAGCGCTCCTACGGTTCCGATGGATGGCCGGGTTCTGGCAAAGAGCCGTTCATTTAGGCTGGTCGTAGTCCAGATCACATCAACGAGGACTTGATCTGGCACAAATACATCTTGTCAGTAGCGGCAGCTGCTGGGAAAAAGCTAGGCTATTTGTTTTGGGCTAAGATGTACTTCCGCATGACCGTCTCACTCTATACGAGGCCCAGAAAAGGCCTAGCCTCGAGTATTGCTCACACGTTTGGGATGCCGCCGGCCCGACTATATTATCTATGCTCGATGTTGTCCAGAGAAGGGCTGCCGACTGATCGATGACTCAGAGTTCTCTTCCATGATGCCGCCGCGCGATGTGCCTGCCATACAGACCCGGCTGCTTCCGTACAAAAAAATGACTACATTAAAAGCTTCCTACTTTCATTGTATGTTGGCTGAGATAGCGCAGCATAATCACTAGTTGCGTTCGGCACTTGAAAAGGCTGAAAGTGGAGGAAAAATGCAGATAGTGATAGTATAGTGATGGGGCATTTTATTTATACTGATCGGAGCACGAAAATAACTGAATGACTCAGCACACTGCAAGTGGGGAAAGTGATTTTTCTTCGGTACCAGAAGGACAGTCAAATAAGAATTCTATCTGACACGCATGAAACATCTGTCGAAATCAGGTTTAAGTGTTGTATGAAAATGTTTTATTGACATCGATGAATTTCTAGAACATCCAAAGGTCAAAAATCTTTCGGAAGCAAGTATCGAGAACCACAGGCTCCAAGGGCGTGGGGAAAAGTGGAAATTCTCTGACATGTGTGGCAACTTGAAGTGAGATGAGATTATAACTGAGAAAGTGGCCAAAATAGAAGCTACGGAAATCAGCCTTGTGTGGTCTAAACTGTCACATATTACCAAGCTATTCAATCGCGTTTTCTTTCAGTGAAGCCAGTGTTGGACTGGTGCATATTCCAAATTCTTATAACAGGACAAATTTATATATTCATGTTTTTTTGGTGCGTACTTTGAAGTAGTGTTTTACTCAGTGTAGAAACATACAGAACTTGAAGCAACTCGGGCTGGTGTTGTCTGCCTCGATTTCCATCTTTGAATGCAGCCGTGCTATTTGCTCGTGGTTTACTATTATTCTTTTCGATGATTCACCATAGTAACACGGAAAAGAACAAAGAAACGAAAAATAAGCTTCATTGACAGATGACTGCATGCGGCACGACATGAGAGTTGTTTAATGTTGTTTTGGGAGCAACTTCAGGATCAAAGGTATTAACTAAGGTAGGGTATTTTAAACTCAAAAAACTGCGCTAAAATTATCAGAAGAAAACACTATAATCAAATTCAAGCGGATAACCAAATGGAAGTGGTATTTACCATTTTGGGTTGGTATTTACCGATCCGTTCAAGCGAGTGTGGTTAATCAGTTTGGTTATAAGATCCGTGACGTCACGAATCAGCTGTTATATGTCATAGTTATCACCGCAAAATTGTGGTATTTACCCAACTCAAGAGTAGTTTAATATTTCTGGTTATTATTTGAAATGTGACAAGTTAGAATTTTGCCGGGTATTGGATATTGTTATTGTACTTCAGCTTTATTTTTGAGAAAATTGATACAGGCTGACTTCAGTTTTACCATAAAGTGGAGCACCTTATTAGTTATACTCATTATGGTTGTTGGGGACACTTTAAATTTAGTTCCTATGCTTAACAAAGTATCCTGTGTAGCCATATACCACAAGAATATTAAAATATGGCGATATAAACTCACTAGATGATATCCACCTGTATACGGTTTTGCTAATTTCTTTTTTCATCATTTCTGCTGAATCAATAAATTTTTTCTTTGACATGCGGAAAAATTTAGAGAATTGAAAGTTATCATAGCTACAAAGCCATGCTTCCATCAATAAAAAAAAATCTGAAAACAACATTTCTCCCATGAATATTATGAAAGGTTTCTTATTTAAACTTGCCATATACAGTTGTAGACGAAAAGGCACCGATAATTCTGTGGCTTGGTTGAACAAGGGCCTATGTACAAATTCGCAGAAATTTAGCTAGAGGGCCTATCTTACTGATCGAATGACTCTCTTTCCAATGAAAATGGTCCCAAGAGAATAATCCTAGTAGATTTCGATAAAATCCATGTGACAAGGGCGCAAGTGTGTGGGCCTAACTACAAGATATAAAATGTAAAGTCCAATCTACCGTTTGCGCCTTTTTGAATGGTCCCATGTAACAAATATATTATTAATTTATAAGCATAAAACGGCCTAAGTGACTAATAGGCCCAGAAAATAGAGACCTATGAGACCTTGGGTCTTTAAAATATCCCCTTTCATTTAAATGCTTAGGGCCTAACTGCCACTTATTCAAAGTGCATTGAAATTTCTGGGCCTATGTCAATTTGGGACGTTTCATTATTCAAAAACACACATTTGAAAAGGGCCTCTGTGCAACAGAAAGACATAATAGCTTTCCGCTTTTGGTCGGATTTGCCACATAGGCCTTTTTGAGTTTAAACGTATTTATTGTGTGTATCTGATGTGTAACATAGGCCTCGGCGCAATTGCCGGTAAAAACATAACCTCAAAATTTTATCTAACGAACAGGTGTGTGTGGCACGTTTTTTGTGACTGTTTTGTGATAAATTCTCAATTTTTGCTGCATTCTTTTTTGTTCAAGGTAAGTTTGAGTACTTGAAAGAATGTTTAAGATGTCGTAGAGTATATTATTATTGTAGAACATGCAAACATAAACCAAAAGTTAAAATGTCTTTGTACAATGAGAAACATCAGTCACGAAGCCAGAGGATGGTAGATATAGCTAAGAAAAATAAAACGGAAAATTCTAACATAAATGACGATGTAGCTACCACAACCGATGACAATAAGAAGATTATCATTTTGAAAAATGATGTTATTCAAGTAAGTTTTTTTCTTCGGAGCTGGTATACATAGCGTGTAAAATAGTACCTATTATTTTGGAGCTAAAATTGTAAAATATAGTGATTCTAGAAACCTCATTGTGGCTTGGTTATCGAGCAAGTTGTTAACAATCAAGATCAAGACGAATACCAGTCTATTGATCAACAACCAATGGAACTTGTAAGAGACTTTGTTAGCGAGGAAGTTGTTAGCAATCAAGATCAAGACCAATACCAGTCTATTGATCAACAAACAATGAAAATTGTAAGTATCTTGATGAGGAAAGTGGAATTAGCTATGTTGTGTATATTAAGATCATCCATCATTAACCTTACAAAAGAGTAGCATTATAAGTTTGAAATTGAAAATACTATATATTCCAGGAACCACATTGTTCCTCTGTGAACCAGCAAGTTGTTACCGATCAAGATCAAGGAAAACTTCAATATATTGATCAACAAAATATGGAAATTGTAAGTTAATTGATTTGAAGGAAAATTTAAACTATAGATTTATATTTTGCAGGACGTAGGGGACAACAAAAGCGACATAACCGATCCTTTTGCTACTGATTCAGATAATTCTTACAGAACAGAAAGTGACAATGAAACCAGCGAGTCAGAGAGAGAAACACAAAAAAGGAAAAAAAAGTCAAGAAAAAGAGTCAGAAATGAGTTAGGGTGGCAAGTATCTAAAAGGAAGGTTGAAAGAGCAAATGGCCAAGAATATAAAACAAAAAAGAATAAAATTGTCCAGGCAAAAATCTTGAAAGAACCATGTAGATGCAAGAAAAAGTGCTATGAAAAATTTAGCCATGAGGAAAGGATAAGTATTTTTAAAGACTTTTATTCTTTGACATATAATGAACAAACTCAGATTTTGTCAAGTTCAGTTAGGGAATTTAAAAAGCGTCGATGCACTAAACTTGAAGAAGACAGCAGAAGATCATTTAGTCATACCTATCTACTGAACAAAGGAGGATTACCTATAGAAGTTTGTAAGGTGATGTTTATGAATACTCTGGATGTAAGTTTTAAAAGAGTAAGATATACGATTGAGAAGTGTAGGCTTTCTATAAGCGGAATATGTGGACCAGACCAAAGAGGGAAGCATGGCAACCACCATAAAATATCAGATGAAGATAAAAGTTTTGTAATCCAACATATCTCTAAATTTCCAGCTTATAAGAGTCATTATTCTCGATTGCATTCAGAGAAACGATACTTATCTCCCGATTTAAGCATTCAACAAATGTATAGGCTTTATATCGAATATTGTAAAGAAGCAGAAAAAACTCCGGTGTCTGACCACTATTACCGAAGTATTTTTGTGTCCAATTTCAACCTTTCGTTTCATCCACCCCATAACGATACCTGCAGCAAGTGCGATAAGTTAAACATCTTAATAAAATCTTCCGCTGATGAAGGACAGAAAATAGACTACGAACGAGAAAAAAAAGAACATTTAGATGCAGCAGAGAAGGCGTACAATGCAAAAAGGATTGACAAAGAAAAAAGTAAACAACATGAAACTATAGTAACGGCAATGTTCGACTTACAAAAATGTTTACCGACTCCCCACCTAAAAAGTGGAATTGCCTTTTATAAAAGGCAGTTGTGGGTTTTCAACCTAACAATATACGAGGTTACAAAATCCAACGGAAATAGATCTTTTTGTTTCATGTGGGACGAAACCACTTCAAACCGTGGAGGACAGGAAATTGCATCCTGTCTCCTTAAGTACATAAGAAACTTGCCCCCAGAGGCAACCTGTCTAAATTTACCACCAAACCACATGCTAAAAGAAGTCCACCACAAATTCCTAATCTCCGGTCATACTCACTTGGAAGCAGACTCGATTCATGCTTCAATAGAAAAAGCTAAAAAGCACACAACAATGGATATAGAAATACCCAGAGACTGGTCCACTCTGGTTCGCAGCATTCAGCGAAAAGGAGGAATTAAAGTCATTGACATGTCTCAGGATGATTTTTACAATATAAGCGCTCTTCAGAAAGCGTATTTTGTGAATAGAAAGAAAAACGCGGACGGAGAGCAAATGTCTTTTTTGAAAGCAAACTATTTCCTCTACACGAAGGAAAACCCTGGAAAAATTTTCTACAAGGAAGGCTTATTGGCAAAAGAAGATTTCAAAGTCTGGGATATAACAAAGAAGAAAAAAGGACAGCCAGATGAGACACAACTCGTTTTGGAAAGGCTACATAATTCGTACCCGTTGCCTCTTCCAAAAAAAAAATTGGACGACATTAATACGTTAATACAATATATACACCCAAATTGTCGGCTTTTTTATGCTAATCTCAAATCAGAAGAAACAGCTGCCGATGAAGATGTATGTCCGACAGCTATTTTACAATATGATGAATAAGCCTTTTTTCATTTTTTTGCCATTGTAAAAAAAGTAAAGTTTTAGTTTATGTTAATATCTAGAAAACAGTTCTTGAGATTATTTCTATACTTTTATAAAATATATGACATTGCCAACTGTGTTTTATTGTTATTGACGCTAAAATAAATCATAATGGGGAGAACGTTTTATAGTCAAAAAAGGCCTAAGTTATACTCTTTCCTACAATGGGGCTTATATACCATTTTCTTGGGCCTACGTGCATATTAGATATAGGGTCTATGTGAGTTAGGCCGAAATTGTAGGGGCCTAACAAACAAAAATATGTGAATAAATGAATACTTCTACGAATTTTCAATATATTTTGGATCATAGCACATCCAGTTACATGCTACCCAAATTTCATTCAATTCGGATAAAGGATTTTTGCATAAGAAATAATTTTGTTCCAATTCACAAATCCTAAATTATCTCCAAACTTGATTTTCGTAGATTGGCCCTTGTTTATCCAAGCCACAGAATTAAGTGACAATAAAAATAAGCAGAGATTATATACGCGCTTTTCCAAAATAAACAAGTTGCAACAAAACCGCGGTTAAAACCAACGCGTTCAAGCGATTCGTGTAACTGACGTCATCAACCCGTGTGTCATCTTGAACCAAATTATAACCGCGGCACATTACACAGAAATTTTGGTTATTCGCTTGGATTTGATTTATATCTCTGAGCCACAGAAGCAAAGCACTGCGATGAAATGACAATTTGTCCCTCCTGGGATTACTTGAAATAGTGATGTGCTTTATAGTTCTTTGCATTCTGTCGCATTCATTTCTAGGAACTGCTTCATGAACAAACTATTTTATGCAACAATACCACAAAAAATATATGTACCGAAACAGAGCAGATATTCCAGTCTGTCAGTTGAGATAACGTAAAAACGATTCAATTCATATCTTTTAACCGTTTCAATGCAGTCCACTGATTGCAAATGTATCCTCCCATCACTAACATTGTGAAACACTAATTTCAAATGTCAATTCTTCTTTTGTCTATTTTCCAATGTTACTGTAGTCTATGTTTTGTGGTCACTTGTCACTTGTTGTTTTGAGCTTGTTGTGTTATTTCTAAAAAATGGATTTTTGGAATAAAAACAATACCTACCTTTCTTGTGCAGCATTAAATATTACACTGTCGTATACAGTTAAATCTGCATTAACCCCGAAATACGTGGTTATGTTGAGTGTACCATGTACCATCACCGATGGCGCGACTGATACACTGAAATCAAAATAAAATAACTGCAACTGCAATTGAATGTATGAATGAAATCTTGAACAGTTTCGGACCAGTGGTGTCAAAATGTCGTTGAGGAATTGGAAAGAAGTGTACGAATATGTTAAAACGCAACACCTAACAAAAATTTGAGTGACAAGGCTTTTTCATGTAAGAATTTGGAAGTTCAAGTTTGCAAAAGTAGGATAAACTATTAACACTCAGTAGGTGTTGTTGAGTTAATATAATCACATATGGATTACAAAAGTTACAATAAACATGGAGAAACCTTCAACTAAACTGAAAAAAATGGATTTTACTCAGCCATCAAGCGTTTTTTTATTAGTTTTTGGCTCAGTTTTATATAATTTCATAATATTTAATAAACTGAAAACATTTCAATGGCAAGCTGTCACTTCATATTTTACAGTGTTTTGTTTTGAATACTTTGATGCTATTTGCTGCCAAAAATTTGACGGACATATCTTGAGGCTGATTGGGTATATTTGAGGGACTGTTTAGTACTCGTATCCTATTGGTGCAGAATAACGGTTTGTCAAATGGTGCAATCAGCCCTTAGTCTATCGTTAATAAAAAATGCTACCCCGCCATGTTGAGATTCATTTCTGCAGAAGGCAGTACGCAATGTAAAATTAGTCAACTTGGTAACATTTAGTTGATCAGCATTAAGCCAGTGTTCAGATATGAGCAAGATATCATAACTAAGTACCTCATTCACACAGAGCACTTTATTACTAAGATACTGCATATTTTGGTGGCATAAAGATAAGTCATTGTGTGAATCAGACATATCTACTGTACTCCTAAAAAAGTACGGACTTTTGATTGCTGGGAGACACTATCATTTGAATCGACACTTTGTATCCTTACTCTAGGTTTATCTAGAAACCTCTCACTTTTGCAAAGTTGAGGCAATTAATTATGACACCTTTAGGCCAGAATTTTACGTCATAGGCTACAGATCGATAACAAGTATTAACACCTACTAAATAGTAATTGTTGTCTTTTACCTGGTAATATGTTTGTACCTTTTTTTACATAAACCTGATTTTTATCCGCTTTCAAGTTTTGAGCTAAGTAGTCGATAATATCCTGGTCTATAGTACAACCCTTAACTTTTTTAAGAAAAATCCAAATCTTTTTCTCCCTTACTTCTGCGCTACCTTGAAAGTTGAAGTCTGGAGCATCTGTGGCGATTCCAATTCTTGGCTGCCGGCGTCTTCTTCCTTATTATGATTTTCTTCTATTGGTATGTCAGCGGTCAATTGTTTAGGATTTGGATTTAACATCTGCTGGACCTTACTTCCCTGTGAAGCGGTTGCTTTGGTAGACTGATTGGCTGAGTTTTTGGGATTTGCTGCGGTTATCTCAGAATACTTCTTAGTTGCACCGCTAGTGGTACCTGAAGATGGCCTTCTTAGATTACGATCCTCGATTTGTGGCAAATATTTGAACACATGCCTCAAACTCGGACCGTACCAGCTTGATGACGAACTCACGATTTACTTGACTGATTTCACTACTAGTTGTTGCATCTGGAGTTGACTGACCATAGCTTGTTTGGCTAGCACTTGACTGTTTGTGTCCTTTCTGATACTTATTTTTTTCAAAATTCTCAATTTGATTTAGTCTCCTTCTTTTGGTCCTGTAATCTAGAACCTTTTTCGATAGGATATCGTTGGAGAGCCTCATTCTTTTAATCTTGCAGTTTAATTCTTGTATTTCTGCTTTATATTTCTCAATTTCATTTCTATAATTTTCCATTTCTTCCCGATCTTAATTCTGACTCAATTTTTTGTATTGATCTATTCTTGTCTTCAATTTCCTTACGGTATTGATTTTCCCATTCAATTGCATCTTCCTCTATAGCTTGCGATTTTCTCCTTCTGTCTATTAAGAAATTCATCTTTTTGCTCAATTTCAACTTTTAATTTGGTAATTTCCTCCTTAAGCGACTATACTATATTATCAGCTTCATAGCTGTCTTCACAGACTTTGCTGCACAATATTTTGTGTTTTTCAATAATGCTGATGATTATTATTATTATTAATTATTATTATTATTATTATTATTATTATTATTATTATTATTATTATTATTATTATTATTAGTAGTAGTATTAATATTATTATGATTGTTATTATTATTATTATTGTTGTTATTATTATTATTATTATCTGAGTTTTCACTTCTTAAGCTGGTAGTATCTGGGACACCTTGAATGATGTTTATTATTATTATTATTATCATTATCGTTATCGGAATCGTAATCGTTATCGTTATCGTTATCGTTATCATTATCGTTATCGTTATCGTTATCGTTATCGTATCGTTAGCGTTATCGTTATCGTTACCGTTACCGCTACCGTTACCGTTACCATTACCGTTATCGTTACCGTTATCGTTACCGCTACCGTTACCTTTACCGTTACCTTTACCGTTACCTTTACCGTTACCGTTACAGTTACCGTGATCGTTATCGTTGTCGTTGTCGTTATCGTTATCGTTATCGTTATCGTTATCACTATCATTATCATTATTATCCTTATCAGTATTATTATTATTATTATTATTATTATTTCAATTACATACTCTCGACCTCCTCTGATCGGACAGTACCAGCCACCGGAACCCAGCAAGGGTTCTGAGGTACTGCAGTTCATATATATCTGGTTTTCCTGGTATTTGATCTAAGTACGTATGCATTCCCTTTTGAATTGCTCCCAATGAGCCATTTATAACTGGTATAACTTTAGCTTTTACTTTCCACATGCGCTGTAGTTCAATCTGTAAATCTTTATATTTTGAGATCTTTTCTGCCTCTTTCATAGTAATGTTCTGGTCGTCTGGGACAGCTACGTCCACAAGTATGCAAGTTTTATCTGACCTATTATGAATGACGATGTCGGGACGATTAGCTGATATGGTGCGATCAGTTATAATTGAATGGTCCCACAGTACTGTGCATTCGCTTGTGTTGATTACCGGGGGCGGGTTATACCATGTTCGAGGCACGTCAATCTGGAGTTCTTTACAAACTTTCCAATGAATATATCGGTCATCCGGAGGAAAACCGTCACCACTCAAAAAGTATATATTTCACAGTAGGTCAAAGATAAGAGGGAATCTTTCTTTTTTCCGAATTTCCAGGTTTTTTGACAAAGGCCGTCTTTAAGGCAACTTGATTACAAATGTTAGAACACTTACTAGGTTTGGAATTTCTTCTTACGTTTTTTATATTTATAGATCTAAACTCATCATCATCATACGAATACTTGAAAAAAACTGTATCTGGATTTTGTTTTTGCATGATATTTTAAAGACATCTTCGCTTGTATCTCTATTAATATTTATAAATCCCAAATCAGAATGAAGAGCCTTCAAATCAAAAATATCAGCATAGCAGATTTCATTCACTGTAAACGGATTACCAGTTTTCTTCGCTGTCCTTATAATGGCATAATATTGCTCTGGAATATAAAGTGGCCCAGATTTCAGACTGCGCTTTATTTATCTGCAGCTCAATCACGGAATGCGCTCCATCACCTTCATTCTAGCTGTGTCCAGTTATCAGGTACTTGTGTGTTATAGTATTGATATATTTGAAGAAAGAGATCTGCATGTAAGTATAACGAAACAATAAAACGGTTTTTTTTGCTGCCCTCCGCAATTATCTGAATAAAAAACGACATCAACTGTCGTGTTTTCTGACTGAGCTTTTATATTAATCATCTCTAAATACTTGAAAATACACGTGACAATTTCGTTAGCTCCTCTTAGTGCTTGGCCTTCATGCCAAACATAACACTCGACATCCTTAGTGTGTAGATCAAATATTGTAAAATTGTAGCAATTTAATTTTGAGACATAGTAAAAATTACTAGTATTGCCTTGAGGACATGGAAGAGTGGCTTGTAGATCATAGACAGCTACAACATTATCTGATTTTTTATCCTTTTCTTTTTCTTGCCTTGCCAATTCCTTTTCCCTATGATGTTGGTTGTACTCTTTAGCATGCAGTGCTTTTCCATCATCATTCATATGTTGAAAGCTGATGTCCAGTAGTCCCATTGGTCTTCTTTAGAGACAAAAAAAGAGTAATTGAATTCTTGATTGAATATTTTTGCATAGAAATTATGATTTCCGCTTTCCAAACCTTTTTCTCTGCAGTCATTTTGATAGTCTCGATGCAAATCTGCAATAGTTTTTCCTCCTTCTATAAATTGCTTGCTCATATTTGACCTTGTATAATGACGTTCAATTTGTGGAATCCTCTTTATGTGATTCCGGATGCCTTCCTTAATAGATTCATGTATTCGGAAATGATTGCTATGTTTACCTCGCAAATCCGGCTCTATTATGCCTGTTAAAGTTTTGCTTTTCTTAAAAGAAACGGTTCGTATTGGTCGATCATTAATAGATAAAGTCGTTTTAAAAAATACTTTGCAAACCCTTACTTTTTGTTCTTTGATGACAAAATAGAATGCATTATTTTGACTACAATGCGAGTCTTCCCTCTTATACTTGTATTTGGGATTAACTAAGGACATGCAATTGGATAAGTAATCCCTTTGTCTTTGTAAATCACCAAGATTCCAATATTCTTCAAATACATTTATCACCACAGCCTGGCTGAATTCTCTTTTCTGCTACTACTTTCTGTGATTTTGAAACGGAGGTATATTGCTTACCGGAATTTCTTAATTTCTTTGCAGAATGTTTACGCCAATTTTCGGGATTTCTTGATCTTTTTCTACCAATTTATTTGAGAGTCATTAAAATTAACTACCCTTCGATGCTTCTTTTCCTCGCTCTTGTTACTTGAATTAATATCATTTTCAACAGATGATGAACTGTTAGTTTCACTGCCGCTGGGAGAGGTAGACGAAAAGTAATCAGGATCAGCTGTAGAGTCGTCAGAGTCAAATGGCTCCGAAAATTTTTCACTCTCATCATCACAGGTCGTTTTAATTTGTGTATGTTCTTGTTGGATAGGAGCACCTAAACTGTCAGGACCTACTTCATAGTACCCATCAAAAACATTTTGCGGCAGGTTAGATATTTTGGCATCACTTTTTTGTGACGTGTTATGCTGTATTTTTGACTGCGTATCAACTATTAGGCTGCAACTGGATTGATTGGCTATTTTATGTTTTGCACCTGCTTTCTGGATCAATGTGTTGAAGCTATCCAAATGGATTGATTCATCTTTGAAGCTTTGTAGTTGTCTATATTCATTTTCTGCTGTAACAGTCTGATCTAATAGATCAACTTGCAGAATCGATGTTTGAGTACTGCTGTTGTGGAACGAATTACTTGTTTCAACTTGCTTGTTAGCTTGACCGACTAAGACCTCAGGGTTTTCCGCAGATGCTTGCGAAACTTCTGAGTTGCTTTGTTCTGGATTACTGCCCACTACAATTGCTGACTTCTGTGGCCTCTTTTGATCAATACTTGCTTGCTCCATGATCCACACCGTTCGATTTCGGTAAGATATCTCTGAAAAGGAAAAAATACAAAGTGCTCTTTGATGGTATTTTGATTCAAATTAGATGTCAGGGATGATGTAGCAGTGAAAACTGGAAAAAATGAAAAGCACTGGTGCTTTTGTGAAGGTAATTATATTTTTTGTATGTAACAAGTAGGTAAACGTGATTGTATCAGCGCTATATTTCACGATATTGAGTGAATTTTTAGTTGAAAATTATAAACTAAATTTTAATGAATATATCTATAGGAGAAAAGTGTCACAACTTCATATAATACCATCTCTTAACATATGTTTAGTAGAATATTGACACTTTCCAGAATAATACTGAGAAACTGATATATAGTTCGTATCGTTTCCAAAGAAAAGCGTGATATCTCAAAATATTGCTGCACAGGACCAAGCTATACCAAGTGACATATAAATCCGAACACCCAGTTTGAATGGTTTTATTTTAATAAAATTTTGTATAAGTACTTAATGAAGCATAATAAGTAAATGATAAAAATTTCAAAATGATTGCACTGCTTTAAAACCCTTTGACCTTTAATAATGTGTGGATGAACCGTGATGTGCTACGCATCCTCCAACGCGCCTAGGCATGCTTCTGATCAGGTGGTCAATGTCCTCCTGTGGTATCTCATTCCAGGCAACCACCAACTCCTCTCGAAGTGCTTCTAGAGTCTGAGGAGGACGTTGCAAATTGAGCAATCTCCTACCCATCATATCCCACACGTGCTCAATTGGGGATAAGTCGGGAGATCTTGGTAGTCATGGTAACAATATGACATCATTATGTTGAAAGAAGTCTATTGTGACTCTTGCAACATGTGGTCGGGCATTATCTTGTTGGAAAGTTGGATCTGCCAGGGTGTCAAGATAGGGTAAAAGATGGGGTTCTAGAACTTCGTGGATATAACGCTGCGCGTTCATGTTACCTCTGATGAAGATTAAAGGTGACCTGGAACCATAAGCTATAGCACCCCAAACCATAACTCCAACAGTGTGATGAACATGTCTTTCAACACAAAAATGTGGATTCCTCCTTTCACCACGTCGCCTTCTAACCCTGGCACGACCATCGTGCATACCTAAACAAAATCGAGACTCGTCACTAAAGACAATACTGTTCCATTCCTGATCCCAGAGTGACCGTTGTCTGCACCACTCAAGGCGATTACGTCGGTGTTCTCGAGTTAAAGGGAGGACCCAGTGTGGCCGGTATGAAAACAAGCCAAAACTTCTCATCCGTCGGTAAACACTTCGCATGCCAATAGGTCTTCCGTGTTCTGCAAACCATTCATTTGCAATGGACCTGGTAGTGGAGAAACGGTCCCTTAAGGCCAATAATCTTAGGCGACGATCTTCACGGTCTGTTATTCTACGGCGGCGTCCAGTGCCCCTTGCTCTTTGCGTACGGCCTTCTCGAAGCCATGCCTGACAACACCTAACCACAGTGTCTACACTTCTTTCCACTCTAACTGCAATTGCCCGAAAAGAAGGTCCAGCTTCCCGAAGTCCCACTATTTGGCCCCTATCAAACTCACTAAGTTGACGAAATCGTACAGGTCTCCGTACTCTAGGCATCGTAACCGATCGTAAAGGATGTCAAGAACCAAAATCCGCCAACGTTGATTCTTTACTGCGGATGAAATATTGATTTTTAGAGCGTTAGTGAATTAAAAAAAAGCAGTATAAAAACCGGAATGTCCAACTGATAAGGCTGAAAAATTTTTCACTTGTTATTTACAGTAAGATAAATACATTCACCAACTTTTATTAAAATAAAACCATTTAATCTGTTTGTTCGGATTTATATGTCACTTAGTATATATAGTGGAAAACCGTCACATATTAAAATGTGACGGTATTGACTCAAAGTAATAATCATCCAATAACTTACCTTGCTTCAAGAAAACGACACAAAAAGAAATAATACAGCTTTCCTGTGAACTGTGTTTGAAACTTCCTGTTACTAACTCGAAATAAGACGTTTTTCGTCCGATTTGCACATGCTTCGCCTTCGAGAGCTGTACCTAAACTGAAAAGTGACACTTTGATTTCGAAGCCTCATCAACGTTTAGTCAGGGGAAAAGTGACACTCGACGCCATCTAGCGTAAAATAGTTGAAGCTCGGATGATACCTTTTTTCAGTAAAAAATATAGTTTATTCAGCATTTGTTTTTGTGAAAAAGCGTATTTTAATATTTTTTGAGTTGTGACGGTTTTCCTCCGGATGAGCGATATGTAGCAACCCTATTATGCCGATGTAGATATTCAGTTGCTGCCAGAACTGTGCACCCTGTAAGGACGTGCTGAATTGTTGTCTCTCTTGTGTTGCACCTTCTACATCTGCTATCGACTGGTTTGCCCAGAATCAGACAGCGTGTTCTGTCTATCTATGTAAGGATTTTCCAGATTATGGAAAAATTGACCATGAAGTGGTTTGCGTTTAATTGATTCGATTCTGTGCTCTTCAATGTTGTTTTTGAGAGCAAGTTGTTCGCCCGTTGTTTCGACTTCGGATGGAGCTTGTTCCTCAGGGAGATACTTCAAGTTGTTTCACCAATTCTATCATACGGTCGGTGTTGTTTGAAATGTATTTGCTGAGATTGATGATGGCAATATTGTACGCAGATTATTATTATTATTAATATTATTACTACTGTATTACCATCAGGACATAAGTAAATTGACTATAAATTGGTGGTCCTCCCAGAAAGCTAGTGATTGACAATACTTTCGAATAAAATTTTGGAAGATAAATAAGTAGCAGACTGCTAAAGAAATGAGACATAGCTGGACCAAATAACTCTTCGGGTCGTATGCTTTGAAGGGTGATAGTGAGATGACTCCCCCTTTAGAAGGGTTTCTGCTCCGCTCTACATGCTCTGAAATCTTATGGTCTGAAACCCCATAGTTAAAACTATACGAATCGTAGTTTACGGTATTACGAACTCATGGCTAAAGTCAAGACAGATAAAATTACTAGAAATAAAAAAAATGCACAATTACCTATTTGCATTCGTACAAGATTTATTCAACTGGTGGGCTAAGAGCAATTTTGTAATACTCATTCGTACACTAAGAAATATGTCCCCAACTCAATGTGTCCTTTTTCAAAATTTTTTACCGCAAAATAACCTTGAACCAATATGTGAGGTACTTATCACCTTACTCAATTGCAGAAAGTTGTATTATAACCTCCATTCAAATTGAGGAACCTTGCATAGGCTCTTTTTCTACGCCAATGTCAGTCATGTAGATATTTTACGCATCTGCCTATATCACTGTGAACTACAATAACTTCAATAAATAAAGCAAAGGAAGAATGTTTATTCAATTCGGTAATGTATGACATCCTTAATCTAATAGTACTTGTCTGTTCACGCGTGTGTACCACCACACGCCGACATGCTGTTGAAAGCTATTATTGCAGTCGTCTTAGTGACTGGTACGTTGTCGGTGAGTACTGACTAATTACTTTTTGATAATAGATCTATTAAAAAAGACATATACTTAAGTCGTCTTTATCTTTGATACAGCATCAATTAGTTATTTGACTCATCTTCGCGATATCTTTCTATACAATGAACGATATTTCTGACGACGATCAGCTTACGAGTTTCACGCGAGGTGCAAAGCTCTTCATCACCGGATCTGTCAGGGTCTTAATGTTAGTCAGCTTTAAATTTTATTAATATGACAGTGGCATACGAAATTCGTATATCTATGACTAAGTACTTGATTAATAAATTCATCTAAACGTAACGTTCGTATCGAATTTTAGATATCACGGTTTTAAATCGCAAATCAAATTGTTTATTAATTTTCAAAGTTCCTGTAATTGTGCTACAAGTACTACTCTGTCACTTGTCTTGCTTTATATTAGGTATACACGTCGGGTTTTTAATATGTAATCATAAACATATCCAAAAAACTTGCAAGAGAAGTAGGAAAATTTAAGCTGCATACTTGGAAATTATTTTACTCTCTACAAGATGACTCATAACTATGTTGCAACACAAACATACCTTTTGTTGATGAATACCCTGCATACAGGCATACCCTGTATTTAAGTATATTATGAAAAGCCTGTTTAAAGATAAAAATTGATATAGCATGCTGACAGCTATGACAACTACTACTTTGCAGTCTTGGAATAGATCATCAGACATACAGGGTGTTGATAAACGCAAAATGTACTCCTCCTCAAAGGAATCAAATGGAAGAACACCCCATATATTTTTATGGTATTGGGTTATCGTTTTTATAATATGGGGGTTAAATATCGATAGTGTAGTGCACACATGTTGTAAGTGATTTTTTTTTTAAAATGAGTTATCTACAGCAACGTATTGCTTAAGGGACGAAGCATCGGATGCACAAGTGTGTTAAGTCATTAAGTCATTTATAAAGCTTCTACGAGTAGCACCACCTGCCTGTAGGTATAAGTAACTTTGGAAAATAGATTTCTATCACAAACGTTGTAAAAGTACTTTTACACATTTGTACATAGTAACCTACATCCACAAGATGGTGTTAAAGGTATTTGTCCCATCTGTGATTGACACATTTCTCTTAGGCTAAAATTAGTTGAGTTGAAATGATACGGAATTTGAAAATATACAGGGTGTGGATACAGAATAGTAAATGAATCAGATTTTTAGAGTAGTTCAGTATATTCTACTTATAGACGAGTTAAATTTGAGAAGTGCTGCAATCGCCGTACCCCCAACTACCGAAACTGATGTTATTCAGGACCGTTGCTGTGGACTAAATATAGAAGAAGCTATTTTCATAGAATTCCAGTTGAACGAACCGGTATTAGGTATTAATTGATGATCTATTGCTGAAGTTTTTTACTGTACATCAGTACAATGACCCTGACCCATTTGTTTCATCTGACAGTTCTTATATTCCTTCCAATCAAGCTAGTGGATCTGATAGCGAACCAGACGAGGTAACATATCAACCAACTCTGGAAAAGGTCTGTCGTGAAGACTTTAAGATTAAGTGGCGAAAAATATGTAAATCGAGCTGGTAAAACAGGGCCAGTAAAACTTCAAAAAATAGTAGACTGTTCTAAATGTCGCTATAAATGCAGCAACTTTCTTTCGCAGGATGAACGACAAATATTATGTAAAGAGTATTATCAATTAGCAGACTACACTAGGCAAAAAATATATTCAGGATCTCTAATGGAGAACGCCACAGTAAGCAGAAAGCAGTGTACTCCACTGACTAAAAACTGAGCGACTTCTAGAACAATCAAATTTAAAAAACACGAAGAGTGTTAAGCATAGAGTATGTTAAAAATACGTTTGCTATTTCACATCGAGCAGTAGAGACAATAAATAAACCTAAGATCAGCACTGGCCTTTTTATCGGCCATGATAAACGGATAGACTCCAAGCCTCATAACATAACTCCATTTGCAATTAAGCAGCAAGTTATGAGCCACATCGATTCTTTTCCAAAAATCGAGTCTCATTATTGTAGACGAGACTCAAAAAAAGAGTACCTCTTACCAGAACTAAACATTTCTATAATGTATCGCCTATATCAGGAATATTGCGAAGAAGTCGATATGAGTCCCGTATCTAGGTTCGTGTATTTTATGAACATGATCAGCCGCTTTCCTTTTATAAGCCAAAAAAAGGCCAATCCCTGTATACATTGTATTTAAGGCATCGCAAAGCAAAGAAACTTTACGTGTCAACTTCGAAAACCATAAACGTCAAGAGGAGGCCCTGGTAATGAAGTAAAATAATAAAAAACATGCAGTGAAAAACAGGGGAGAGAATTCGGAGCAATCTCTTTTGATTTGCAAGCCATTTTACCCATTCTTTTTGCAGGTAATACTCGTGTATATTACAAATCTCACCTCAATGTATCACAATCTATGACTGCTCGAACAAGGATAGTATACTAAGTGACATATAAATCCGAACACCCAGTTTAAATGGTTTTATTTTAATAAAATTTTGTATAAGTACTTAGTGAAGCATAATAAGTAAATGATAAAAATTTCAAAATGATTGCACTGCTTTAAAGCCCTTTGACTTTTAATAATGTGTGGATGCACCCTGATGTGCTACGCATTCTCCAACGCGCCTAGGCATGCTTCTGATAAGGTGGTCAATGTCCTCCTGTGGTATCTCATTCCAGGCAACCACCAACTCCTCTCGAAGTGCTTCTAGAGTCTGAGGCGGACGTTGCAAATTGAGCAATCTCCTACCCATCACATCCCACACGTGCTCAATTGGGGATAAGTCGGGAGATCTTGGTGGCCATAGTAACAATGTGACATCATTATGTTGAAAGAAGTCTATTGTGACTCTTGCAACATGTGGTCGGGCATTATCTTGTTGGAAAGTTGGATCTGCCAGGGTGTCAAGATAGGGTAAAAGATGGGGTTCTAGAACTTCGTGGATATAACGCTGCGCGTTAATGTTACCTCTGATGAAGATTAAAGGTGACCTGGAACCATAAGCTATAGCACCCCAAACCATAACTCCAACAGTGTGATGAACATGTCTTTCAACAAAAAACTGTGGATTCCTCCTTTCACCACGTCGCCTTCTAACCCTTACACCGACGTAATCGCCTTGAGTGGTGCAGACAACGGTCACTCTGGGATCAGGAATGGAACAGTATTGTCTTTAGTGACGAGTCTCGATTTTGTTTAGGCATGCACGATGGTCGTGCCAGGGTTAGAAGGCGACGTGGTGAAAGGAGGAATCCACAGTTTTTTGTTGAAAGACATGTTCATCACACTGTTGGAGTTATGGTTTGAGGTGCTATAGCTTATGGTTCCAGGTCACCTTTAATCTTCATCAGAGGTAACATGAACGCGCAGCGTTATATCCACGAAGTTCTAGAACCCCATCTTTTACCCTATCTTGACACCCTGGCAGATCCAACTTTCCAACAAGATAATGCCCGACCACATGTTGCAAGAGTCACAATAGACTTCTTTCAACATAATGATGTCACATTGTTACCATGGCCACCAAGATCTCCCGACTTATCCCCAATTGAGCATGTGTGGGATATGATGGGTAGGAGATTGCTCAATTTGCAACGTCCTCCTCAGACTCCAGAAGCACGTCGAGAGGAGATGGTGGTTGCCTGGAATGAGATACCACAGGAGGACATTGACCACCTGATCAGAAGCATACCTAGGCGCGTTGGAGAATGCGTAGCACATCAGGGTGCATCCACACATTATTAAAGGTCAAAGGGCTTTAAAGCAGTGCAATCATTTTGAAATTTTTATCATTTAATTATTATGCTTCATTAAGTACTTATACAAAATTTTATTAGAATAAAACCATTTAAACTGGGTGTTCGGATTTATATGTCACTTAGTATATTATATAGTAGTAGTATAGTACTGGTTACGTAGGGGATGAAACACAGGGCAGCAAGGAAAGCTCGGAAATTGGAACTTGTCTTTATAAGTATTTGCAAAGTTTGCCTCCAACTGTTGAACATGTGGCTACATTTTCAGACACCTGTGGTGGTCAGAACCACAACAAGTTCGTTAGCGCTGCAATGCTATACTCAGTTAATAAACTGTCTAATTTGAAAACCATTAATCTGAAGTTCATGGAGTTTGGGCATTCCTATTTAGAGGCCGACTCCATGCATGCCAGTATACAAAGAGCAAGGAGACATAAAAAAATGTATACTACACGTGAATAGTATCTACTAATATTCGCTAGTAGACTCAGGCCACGACCATACCACGTAAATAACATGCAAATATAAAAAAGTCTGATCTCTTGTATCTCCTTAGTCATGAAACCATTCCATTTGATTACGCAGACTTTATTAACAACCTCGGATTTTTCAAGGCTGATGCTACATTTTCAGTCTGGAGATGATCAATAAACTTCATACATTCACCGAGAAATTGGAAATTTGTTGACTGACTTCCTTATGTAACTATTTATTTTATTGTTATCTCTGCCATGGTTGGGCCAAGATTGTAATAAATGTTTCAGTTATTTTAATCAACAAGAAAAGAATTTGTTAAGTAACAGTGCAATATGGTAGAAATTTGTTAAGTTAGTGATGACAAATAAATCTTTTTTTGAAAATTGTCTAAGGTTTTTTCCTACCCTGATTAAAAAGTATGTAATCTACAAAGAAATGTTCGAATTGCCAAATTTAATGTTCATTTCTTCAGTAATAAGTCGCTCATCAATTTTACTTTTGAGTCAAAGTTATTTTATTGCGTAGCGCAAGAGTAGCATTTTAGTCTTACGACATTTGTGCGGTACACTATCGATATATTCCCCTACTGAGCGGGGCCATGGCAAATGCTTGGTCCGGAATTTGTTGCATTCCGTATACATCTTCCTCCCGTCCAAGTTGTTGTACATTCGTTAAGGAATACCTCCTTACCGATTGCCGGGTGGCGGTACAAGTCCGCCAACGGGTCACTTTTAGGTCATGCAGTGCAAAACAGGGGAGAGAATTCGGAGCAATCTCTTTTGATTTGCAAGCCATTTTACCCATTCTTTTTGCAGGTAATACTCGTGTATATTACAAATCTCACCTCAATGTATCACAATCTATGACTGCTCGAACAAGGATAGTATTATATAGTAGTAGTATAGTACTGGTTACGTAGGGGATGAAACACAGGGCAGCAAGGAAAGCTCGGAAATTGGAACTTGTCTTTATAAGTATTTGCAAAGTTTGCCTCCAACTGTTGAACATGTGGCTACATTTTCAGACACCTGTGGTGGTCAGAACCACAACAAGTTCGTTAGCGCTGCAATGCTATACTCAGTTAATAAACTGTCTAATTTGAAAACCATTAATCTGAAGTTCATGGAGTTTGGGCATTCCTATTTAGAGGCCGACTCCATGCATGCCAGTATACAAAGAGCAAGGAGACATAAAAAAATGTATACTACACGTGAATAGTATCTACTAATATTCGCTAGTAGACTCAGGCCACGACCATACCACGTAAATAACATGCAAATATAAAAAAGTCTGATCTCTTGTATCTCCTTAGTCATGAAACCATTCCATTGGATTACGCAGACTTTATTAACAACCTCGGATTTTTCAAGGCTGATGCTACATTTTCAGTCTGGAGATGATCAATAAACTTCATACATTCACCGAGAAATTGGAAATTTGTTGACTGACTTCCTTATGTAACTATTTATTTTATTGTTATCTCTGCCATGGTTGGGCCAAGATTGTAATAAATGTTTCAGTTATTTTAATCAACAAGAAAAGAATTTGTTAAGTAACAGTGCAATATGGTAGAAATTTGTTAAGTTAGTGATGACAAATGAATCTTTTTTTGAAAATTGTCTAAGGTTTTTTCCTACCCTGATTAAAAAGTATGTAATCTACAAAGAAATGTTCGAATTGCCAAATTTAATGTTCATTTCTTCAGTAATAAGTCGCTCATCAAATTTACTTTTGAGTCAAAGTTATTTTATTGCGTAGCGCAAGAGTAGCATTTTAGTCTTACGACATTTGTGCGGTACGCTATCGATATATTCCCCTACTGAGTGGGGCCATGGCAAATGCTTGGTCCGGAATTTGTTGCATTCCGTATACATCTTCCTCCCGTCCAAGTTGCTGTACATTCGTTAAGGAATACCTCCTTACCGATTGCCGGGTGGCGGTACAAGTCCGCCAACGGGTCACTTTTAGGTCTATTTAGCATCATTAGCTCGCAAAAGGAAGGTGGTAGACAAGAACCAGTCGACTAAGGCGGTATTACCCGCTAGCTTTCTCCAGGGTGTCTTATGAACGTCCGCATGTTTCCACACCTAAGCTACGCAGTCGGTTATCTTCCCCAACAAAGAAATTAATGATGATGGATCCCGCCAGTACTAAGAACTCCGGACGTAAACTCATTCCATTCTTGGAATATCTGGTTGGAAGGGTGGACTCGAAGGAACAACATGGATGATAATACTTGTTTCACGAACATCTGCGGGATTAACAGATACACTGATGCTGTTCATCACTACCTGCAATATAATCGTCCCGCCATGCTTTTCTTGAGAGTATTTTTTTAAGGTACAACTGATTTTGTGGAATCATTTTCTTGGGGGTGAAAATGAATTTATAAATATATTTTTTTAGCTGCCACCCCTTCAGAAACTTTCTCACACCATGATATTTAACCTATAAATTGTCTCTATAATAGAGTATTGTTTTGATGTGCAACTCATTTTGGGGAATCATTGTTTTGGCGGTGAAAATGAAGTTTTATTTATATTGTTTTATCTACCACCCTTTTAGAGATTTTCTCAGTATATGCTATTTAGCTCATTAATTACTTTCAATACCATATATACAATATTCTGTTAGTGAAAATTCGAAGAAAGATTGTGGGTCTTGTGCCTGCGAAGTACTTAATTGGGGTGGAAAATGATTCTTCCTATAGGAGTGCTTATTCTCGTGCATATATATTTATTGTTGCGAGCTGTTAGCAGTATCCTTCACAATCACAGTCTGGTCGAGGATGTCGACGTCACTGGTCATTCGGGTATTTTCGGCAAATTGTCCGCTAAATTTTGTCTGCCATCTTCACACCGGTATGGGTACAAGCCTTTATTTAAATTACCTGCTATCATCTAAAAACCCTATATTACGGTACTCATTTGTTCTGACTAGCAACTGGTAAATAACTCAAAAATTTAGAATTTCAACCCCCAAAACTGGATAATCTAAATAATATACAGTGTTTCATTTGTTTTTTTTTTTAATTGATTGGCCTGCAAGATGTCTAAGTTGACGAGCGTCTTCTTTTAGAAACATCTTTCAGAATATACTAAAATATACAAGGTATTTTGTTCAAAAGAATGTAAGTTTGTATTGCCACACCGTACTTATGATTCACTACTTAGAGAGCGGTATATTTTCCAAACAAGAAGCGTATAGTTGTCCAACCATTTTTTTGAATAACTTTTTTTAAATCTTCTATAATATTTATTCACATCTTGATAGGTGACATGATTCTGCCTAACGTAGTTCAAATCTTGTTTGTGGATACAGGCTGTTAGGGATAGATCCAGCACCGTAACTCTGTTCAAATCATTAAACGTAATTTAAATGAAAATCTACAGAAGTATAATCTATATAATTACTATTTCTGATATTCTAAGGTCAAACATGTTTGAATGGCAACGTGTTTTTACTGATAACATTAGAAACCATCTGGTTTGTATGTCATTAATTATCGCTCCAAATAGTAAACAGGTCTGAAATATTAATGATATCCTACGATGATATTGAGATTAGAATGTATTAACATTATACGTAGTTGCATCTTAAAGCTTAAGAACAGCCAACAATTTCTTAAACTGTGAACAGAACCATACGGTCATTAGCTAACCAGTTAAAATGCAACGTATAAGATGGGTAATGGGTATAATAAAGTCTAGTAAACAACATGTTCATAGGAACTAATTGTATTTGCTTTTTATTCGAATCCAATATAATTTATTATTTTACAAATGTTTTCAGGATACTGTGAAGGTATCAATATATTATGAAGCTCTTTGTGGAGACAGTATTCGGTTTATAGCTCAACAGCTTCATCCGAACTTTCCAAAGCTTGCGGATTACATAGACCTAGATTTGGTACCCTATGGAAAAGCAGTAGTAGGTATAACTCTAATGACATCGCATTGACTATGAGTGTTATAGTATTATGGTATTATAGCAGTACAAACAAACGTATTAAACAAGATTCCTCTTGATCGTTCTGCCAGCAGGAAACAGGCCTAGTAAAAAATGACCCCAGATGACATCACCAAAAAGTTAAAAATATACAATTATACATATTGAGTATACAATAATAATAATATTTATTCGCCAAAATATGGAAAAACCACAGAAGGCATCGCCTGTGTGTGGATTATATCTTAATAACTAACAATCAATCACATATGGGTATAACAATTATTAATTCTAAAAAGTATTAATGTAATTGGAATTTTGTAGTTTTAGTGTTCTATATAATTATCTATAGTCATTCGCTGCACAGTACAAACCCAGTCTTTCAATTTTCGTCTAAATCTTTTCAAAAATTAAGTATTTTTATTTCGTTTGGTACTACATTATATAATTTAGCTGCTGAGAACTTATGTGATTTTTTGAATCATGTTTTGTGTGGTCTTTGGATATTAGATAAACCTATTCGAAATCGTGTTATGCTCGTGTTTATATGACTTTTTCATTACAATACTTATGGTATAAGGTGGTGGTATTCAAGAAATAAAGTTGTCTTGTATCAGGTATCCCTGTTTCCTGATATAAGCTGTTCGTCGGATATAATCTTGGCTTGTGGAAAATGGCTTTCAAAACACTTTTTTGTACTATATTCAGGTCAGAAATATATGTCTTGCAGGCGGCACCCCAGGCTGTGATGCCGTATATTATATGGGTTTCAACTAAGGCATGGTACAGGATTCGCAGATAACTTTCTGTAGTAATGTTAGCAAGCATTTCGAGTTTATGCGCAATGTTTTTGATAACATATTTAATATGGTTATCCCACCTTAGATGTGAGTCCATAAATATTCCAAGATATTTCAAAGTGTTATATGTATTGATACAAAACAAAACCTCGATAAATACAGAATTATCATTACAATAATATAATCGAGAAACTGTAAAGGCGGATTTCCACCAAACGGACAAAACCGCAACAAAACAGCAACTGTGTCGATTCCGACAAAACAAAAACTTTTGTTGCCGAAATAAGAAACATTTTGAAGACTTTGTGTCGCAAGTTTGTGTTTTCGTCAACAACGAAAAGTCCCATCGCCAGGCGGAAAGATCAAAAGGTTTCGGTATTTTGTCTCTGTTTTCGTAAAAAGAGTTCGCTATGTGGAAACGGTCGGCGACAACAACAGTTCACTATTTTGTTTTGGTATGCGATATGCATGTTGTGACTTGTGTAAATTCATCATACATTTTTATTAAGTGTTTAATCTGTGGTAGGTATGAATTTCGACTAGCCAGAGTATATTTATTAATTTGTTTAATTGTTGTTTATTTCGAAAAAGAATGAGATTTAATTTTCCTGTGTAGAAAATGAGCGAACAAAAGCAATGGACAGTTGAGGAATGCAGCAATTTAATTGAGCTCTACCGACATCATCCAAACTTATTGAACGCTTCGCATATAGATTACAAAAACCGAATAAAGAAGTATGATTCTCTGAAGGAAATGGCCCAAAGATTTGGAACGAAGTATGAAGAAATTGAACGAAAAATAAAAAATTTAGTTAGCCAGTATCAACGGGAAAGAAGAAACTACAAAAAATTAAAGAACTCTGGAGCTGGGCACACTTTTAAGGCAAAATGGTTTGGTTATTCTGCAATGTGTTTTTTACACGACAAAAACAAACCTAGTAAAGGTAGGCAAGTCGGATTGGATTTTGAGGTAAGTTTTCAGTATTGTCATTTTTAAAAAATTAGAAAGAGACTATTAGACCGAACTGAAAAAAAACATATATTTTCCCAAAATACAAGAAATAGGGGAAAACATTATTTATGACAATTGGTTTTACAATACTAAGCATATTTTAATTGCCAGGAAACTTGGCCTATTTCTGATATGAAATATTCGCTTAACTCGTCCCTCAGTTCTTTGGCATCATGCGGTGATTTTCTTGGTACATTTTTAAGGGGCAGTAATGACTGAATTGTTTCCCTATCGATCCTCCACTGTCCTGGAATGATTGTTCCGGTATAGAAATCCTCCACATCAAATGAACCAGGCGGAGTATACATATCCTTTGCCTGAGCATTACGGCGTACATAATTATGCAGAAAAACGCATGCTAGGACCACCTTTTCTGCTTTTGAGGGTTCTAGTAGCATAGGTTTTCGAAGTACTCGAAAAACAGATGCTAATATCCCGAACACGTTTTCGACTACTCTTCTGGCCCTGCTTAGACCATAGTTAAAAATTCGTTGTCTTGATCCTCGGTCTTGGTGTCCTGCGTATGGTTTCATGATATTAGTTATCAACGGAAATGCATCGTCTGCTACTAAAACGTACGGCACATTTTTCTCACGTCCCGGAAGCTGTTTAACTTCAGGCAAATTAAGTGCAGATTCATTTAACGCTTTGACAAATCCAGTGCTTTTGAAAACTCCACCATCTGATATGCGGCCTTGGCTTGGGAAATTGTAGTTCGCATCAACTATAGCAAATAAAACTATACTGAACGTTCCTTTATAGTTAAAGAACTCAGATCCACTAAATTTTGGCGATTGGATAACAATATGTTTGCCGTCCATACTTCCGATGCACATTGGAAAATTCCAAATATTTTGAAAATCTTTTGCCACTTTTACCCATTCTTCGGATGTCTTTGGAGCCTGAAACAAATATATATATATATATATACATATAAACCATTACACTATATATATATATATATACAAAGTTGGGGTTTTCCTTTTCAGAAACAACTACCCTTGAAATAACAAAGGTAATGTGTAGTGAAACGAGGGCGACCAAGTAAAAAAAAAATAAAGGAAAAAGTACTCACTCTCCAGTTGACGAGAAGGGCTAAGTACGTCTCTGCCCGAAATCATACCGCTCCAACAGAAAATGAAATCAGCTGAAGCGCTACCGAGCAGACGCAGACACCACATTGATTGTCTTACACTTAATGGCACATCTTCTAACAAGGAAGGCAAAATGTTGCGTAAAAAGTCTAGGTATTGCATCCCGTCCAATCGATTTGGGAGAATAAATGGTCCAATGAGCATACCGTTCACCATGCCAGCCCAAACATTCACCGAAAATGTTTGTTGAAAATGTGCCCGACGGACAGCGTGCGGATTTTCTAGTGACCAAACATGAGTGTTGGGAAAGTTATTCACCCCATTACGCGTGAACGTAGATTCGTCTGTCACCAATATGCACTTCAAAAAGTCCGGATTATTGTCATGTTGATGCACCAACCACTCACAAAACCGCACTCTTGCTGGAAAATCGTCAGGTTGAAGGGCTTGTACACGTTGGACGTGAAACGGATACAGCCCCTCTTCACGCAGCGTTTGCCACACTTTAGTTTTTGATACTTGCACTTCCCTAGCCACATCTCTAGTGCTTGTTGAGGGATTCTCGTCTACGCGATTACCTCTACATGCGTGACTGTAACCGTCGGTTGAAGGTTGCATACTGACCTGACACACTGTCCCCGACCCAGTTCTGCCGTCGGGTTGAGACCTTGTACCAATCGGTGATGTCCCGGGTCGCGGCTACAGGACGGTATTCAGATATTTTTGATGTTGCAGAGCCCTTTATCTCGGTTCCCATAAGACATTGGTGTATATGGTACTGAGAAAAATTGCTTATGTTTTCAAGATCTACACGTCGTGTAAAGGATATATATATATACAAACCACTACCCAGCAAAGCTTAGCATGATTTAATAACATTAATTAATTATATATTATCACGGTATAAATAGAAAATATTCTGCTGAGCAACCAAAAAAAACAAAACAAAACTATACAGGGTTTTTCCATTTAAAATATCAAAAACTATGATAATATAATTGTTTTATCTTCCGATTGTCTGTGCCACTCCTTTTTTCACAATAAAAATAAATTTTTTGTTCTCAAGAGTTGCTAAAAAAATGGCCTCGTCTTTTTCTCACCTTCGGCCATTGGTTTTTTATTTTTAAAAATATAATTATTTCTTCACGTCCTGTTATTCATCTTTATAAAGTAGGCAGATGCAAATAAATTTATTTTAAAATAATGTTTATTTTGAAAAAGAAGCTGCTTTACTTTATTTAAACTTCTTATTTTCGACATTCTGTGTCTTTTTCAACCAAGTATTAATGTCCTGCTACTGCAGAGTGAACCACCCTGTATATTAATACTAAATTTATTATTTCAGGATAGCAACCCATCAAGCAGTGAAGACAGTGATGACAATGTGTTTCAAACGTGTGAATTGACACGTAGTGCCAATGAGAGTATGCATGAATTGGATGCTAATGTTTCAGACGTTCAGATAGAAAACCAGGAACAGGAGATCTGGGAGCAAAACATTGAACAACAAGGGTCTTCGGTGTCTGACGTTCTAAATTCACCAGAAACTGAACCATTTAGAACACCAAACACAAAAGAGGGCACAAAAAAACGACCATCTAAACAGCATTTATTATCAGCTCCGAAAGCTGCTAAGAACAGTTCGAAACTAGTAGATACTGTTAATACGAGTACTTCTGCTAAAGAAGCCTTTGAAATGATGAAATCCGTGTATCAGAAAACACACACAACCGAAACACGTGACAAATACTCAATATTAGGTGAACTAGTAGGACATACAATACGTAACTTGAAAACATATTTTGCAAAGGCTACAGTTGAACACCAAATACATAATATTTTATACGATGCCCAAATTGGAAAATATGACTTTCCTCAACATTCTTCTCTTACACGTTATTATTCATATACTTCACCTTCTGATAATAGTGTCCCGTCAGCGTCGGCGTCTCCTCATTCTGAAGAAACTCATACTTATGAAACTAATGATGGCTTGAGCTGGGCAATAGCAAACTCATTTGGTACAAACAATAAATAAATGAAGCTGCGATAATATTTACTCATGTGAAAGATGATATATATTTAGTTTATGTAAACATTTAAAAATAAAAATTTTTGTATTACATTTGTACTTACATTAACATATTCCTGTAGATTTAACAAGTTCTCAAATTCGTGATTGGACATTCTTACAAAATTATGAAATGACGATCTCAGTTCTCCACTTATTCCTATGTCATCATCTACCAAATCTGCCATAATTTTGTCCGTTCCATAATCTAGTCGTCTTCTTAGGAATGATCTCATCCAGTTTCTTGGTATTTTTCGCTTTCGCTTCTTTTGGTCAAAAGATTCGATTATAAAAAACCGCACGCCATTATAAAAACATCGTCTAGAGAAGGCATGATGAAAACTGTTCGTGTAGTGGAAACGAAAGAAAACACTTCAAAACAAAACACGCGAAAGACTAGTTTTTTTGTTTGTTTGGTGGAATTCGAGTTTCGAGTTTGTTTTCGAAACTACAACAAGATTATTGTTTCTGTTTTTGAAACTGAAAATAGTTTCAAGCGAGTCCGTTTGGTGGAAATCCGACTTACCAATCTTAGTGTTCGCCACAGGTTATATGAGCAAGAAGGGATAATTCCCTGAGCTGAGCTGTCTGTCAAGATCATTAATAGCGCAGATCTGTGAGAGATAAAGGAGCCAAGAAGACATTCATTCTTATCAAGAATGCGTTGCAAAAAGGTGATCGCCTCACTAACCTGGGCATTGAATGGCAAAATATCCTGAGCTTTGCAAAACTCCCACCAAAGCTTATAAGTGACTGCGTATTGTTTAATTTTAGCTTCGAACAAAAATTGCAGTGTAGTTTCAACTGCACACTCAGGAAGACCCTGCATCCTTAAGGCTCGCTCGATAGTCTGGCCGTTACCAGTGTAAGCTTCCCCGCTAAAGGATGTATTTCGTTGCTGAAAGGAGAAATCAATAAGCCAGTATGCGGCTCAGAGAAAAGAAGTTCTCGTCTGCAAAACATAACGAAAAGTGGATACCATGGTTGGGATGGCCAAAAAGGAACCACTATTACTCCGTTGTCTGTTACTATTTATTGTATCACTCTCAAACTTATATCGATCTCAAACTTATATCACTCTCAAATTTACGGAAATCGGTGAGAACGCATAGAAGTTCATGCTTTTCCAGCAAAGAGTAAAGGCCTCACATGTAAATGCTCCAGGATTCTTCAGCCATGAGCTACATCTTCCACATTTATGATTGTTTTGCAATGCGAACAAATCTACGCTAGGCGTACCAAACGTTTGAGTGATTTTGGAGTATGACCAATCCACCAGAGATTATTCTGTTTCCGACTGCAGTTGTCTGGATTCCTTATCCGCCATCCAGTTATATTTTGTATTGATATAGGAGGCATATATCCATATGCCCCGAGTCTAACCCCTCTGCCATAGTTTCTTCGTCAGACGATTAAATTTCACGTGCTGTACTCTCCCCATGCGGATGAGATAGGCAACTGCAGTGGTATTATCGCGTCTTATTAAGATATTGCGGTTTTCCAAGAACTTGGCGAAACATCCATCAGCTAAGAATATCGCTTGCAACTCCAAAAAGTTGATATGATTATCTTTCTCGGATTTTATCCAACAGCCATACGTAGTCTCCCCGTTGCAACAGGCACCCTAATCCGAAAGGGCTGAGTCTGTGAATAGTTTCAGCTCAAATGAATACAGCTTAATGTCGTTTGCTGAATCTATATTATTCGGCCACTATATTAGATCCGCTTGTGATTATGACGAAAGCGACATATTCGCATTGTAATCGATGCAGTTATCTAAGAGCAATTAGTTTATCTCTTTTGAAATATATTGTATATAGCCATCCCTATTTTATGGCGGGACATGCTGAGACCAAAAGGCCTACGAACTGGCAAATTCTCTAATTCTGAAAATCCTTTTATCTTGAAAAATTTTTATCCACCTCCAGATTTTTTGTCTTTTCGCAAGTTACCTCGAGTTTCATTGTAGATATAAGTGTTAAACATGAAGCTCAAAAATTTGTAGGTTTTTGAGGGCACGAGGAAACTCTTATCCTGATTAATTACAAACCCGAGGGATTCCAATAAGTTCACTGTGCTTTTGATGTTCTGCATAGAATTTTTGGCTGTTTCGCCAAGGATTAAGAAGTCGTTCAAGTGATGTACACATAAAATGCCCATGTATCGGAGTGTCTGCACTACTGGCTTGAAAATATTAGTAAACGCATAAGCAGCAGAGCTAAGACTGAAGGGAATACAGGTGAACTCAAATAAGTGGCCCTCAAATTTAAAATACTTGCGTAGTTCCGATGCTACGGATATAAAAAAATATGCATCCTTTAAATCAATCGATGTTAGGTTATGGTTATTTTGACTTAACTTCAACACCGTATGTATGTCCTACATCTTAAAATGGAGGCTTCAACACATTTGTTTCAACATTAGATTTGTTTCTCGAGAGGTCTGCGCTTCTGAAAACCTGTCGTTCTCGGACGACGGGCTGGGCGACTCCGGTTTACAGGCACGAGTTAGGAGACACTCCTTCCTTGCCCTCCCCCTCTGTTTCCTGATCGACTGTAGCTCATAGGCACAGCAGATCTCTGATGGGAGGATGAAGGCTGGGCTGACTTTGCTTCCCAGCAACCTCGTTGAGATCTAATCCGAACAACAGGTTCGTTAGGAACTATTTTCTAGCAATTTCTTAGTATTTTGGTCCATTTAGGAGTATGTATACATAGGTTGTGCCATTGTCGAATCATGGAACAAACTAGATAAACTGCGCCCTGAATCTGATAAACTGAGTAGGAGATCAACTTTATAAATGCTAGGCATAGATTCTGTGCATGACAGAATGCTATCAATACCCTTTCCCAGTGCTGAAATACCCGCTCCGAGCTTTGACTGAAACTCTACGTAGGCATTGTCTTTCTTTGCATATTTACTGGAGAGATATTTTTAGATTTCGGATTTATTACTGGAGGCGCTGGTAACGGTATAATGGACGGCATCTTGTAGTTTTGGGCTATGGAGTCATACTCTATGTTTGTCAGTTCCTGTGAGATGATTTTGGACCATCAAGCGGCACTTTGAGGTTATCGGTCTGTTTCTCACTTAAGTCACCTCCAAAAATGCCCAATATATCCTGTGGTAGCTCCACGTCGTTATCCAGGACCAACATGTCCTGTTCATAAGGCTTGGACCATCGGCGGCCATTGGCGAGATGCTCAGGGCTCGCGCTACACCATTCCCTAAGTGGGAAAAAACCGAGCGAGAACAGCAACTCTGCCAGAGAGACTCATCCGCTCGCCAATAGGACGGCAACGTCGATCGTGCTGGAGAGAGACATGCGCTCAGCGCGTGAACGCGATCTCTGGCGATGTCGAACCCGTTTATGTTTTTTATAAAATCTCTCCAGTTTTTTAAGGCGCTTTCGGTTTTCCCTCAGCAGAATCAGAGCTACCACTGGATGAATCTCATCTAGAACGCTTCTGCTTTTTTCCCTTCCCACATCTAGCTGCAATAATAAAGCGATTAATGAAAAATAGTTTGTACTTACCGTTGACTGGCCGTGAGCTGGTCGAGCACAAGAAGACGAATGATTGTAGGAGGGAAGTATAGCGATATGTACAGGGACACGAGCGTGACATGAGAGGGAAATTTTGCTTTAAAACCTTGTGGCTGGTAGCACGACAGGGCGGACTACATGGTGAAATAATAAACATCTTTGCACTGGACGCCGAAGTATAATTATTATTATTATTATTGCTGTTATTCTTAAATACCTATTTAGCAACACCGTATAAGCCAATAAAAAGGCGACTAGTTTACGCCTCACATGAACGTGCCCATTGGAAACAATTGGTTTTTTAATCATGAGGGACGGATGAGTCCTGACGCAATAATGACTCGTAACACTTTTGGAGACTATGATCCTTCATCTGCAATAAATATATTCTTATTCGATTGGGATAAAATGGACGGTTTTTAAGAAATATAGTCCTGTTTCAACAGTGTGCCAATCAATGCGCGAAACCATACGCGACGTGTTGATGTATCTGCTACCAAAATTACTACATATTCAGAATGGGAGAGTCCGCGACCATATTCGCTAAAGCAGTACTTAAAAAAGATTAGTTTTCTCAAAAATATTACAAGAATAAATTTTTTCAACAGAAGTATCATTTTTGAGTCACTTGGGCAGTGCGGTTAAACTGTCATATCAGTGTTTCTTTTTCATGGACACTATTACGTAAAGTTTCAACTGTTCAAAAATTATTCAAGAAAAAGCGACTTCCAGTGGCGTGCTTCAGGGTCTGTATCTCCAAAACTAAACGTCACTTCAAAAATCAAAAAGACAATATTAGTCTTAGAGCCCTCCCAATTAATTTTGGCGTCCGTCGTCACGAGATACCACGTCTGGCAGCTGCTACATGTCACTCAAATATATTTCAATACGAGCTTTGAGCTACGGGTACTGGCGACGTCGCCGTGGCATTGCGGTAAAGGAGACCTCTTAGAATAGTCCAAAGAGTCTACTCTTGTTTCTTCTCCATGTTTTGGAAACACCCTGTACATGTTTTGTAGATAGTCAAATAAAGCCTGTAATTCTATCTTAGATTATATCAAAACAACGTTTTGAGAGTCTTCAATGAATTCCATATTTTCAGCACTCCAACATACATGGAACATACTACTTCTCCTGTCAGCATGGCCCTGCCGAATGTAAAGGAAATGTTTATCAATCGTGTGCTTTATCACAAAATCAAGGGGACAGAAAAAACGTAGAATTCGTTAACTGTATTATGAGAAGAAATCCGGATCATTTTGTGAATGTTGAGAAGGTAAGGATATAGGAAAATATGAACATTTGTATTTACAATAATTCGAAAGGGCGCGTTAGAAACAGACGTAGCTTGAAGTAATGTAATCATGTTTACAACTAGGAAGATCTTTCCGAAACATCGCTGTTCATATGTTTGCTGTTCAGAGGAGAACAATCCAACCAGCCGGTGACACGTCTGTAAACACACAACGTCAAATCGCTCTTTCCTTCATGATGCCACCCACACTTAAAATGTGTTAAATCAATTTAGCAGGCTATTTACGGTTCCTAAGGCAATGTGTCGACAAAGTGAGACGATGTATCGAGAGAGGCATGAGTGCCCGCAGGATTTTTTTTCAAAGGGGAATACAATCGGCAGTAAAAGTATACTTCCCCAAAACTTTTTGAACAGCGGGGGTAGCAATGGGGAAGTATGTTGAGAATGAACGGGATTCTCAGGAAGGCACGCCCTCTACCACCCCACAGCGGGGGCCCATAAAGAGAGGCCTTTCAGGATCCTACCATCAACGTAAGTATGTGTGCGTCCATATTGCGACCCTAGCGCGGTTGCGACGACGGACGGAAACATTATGAAACGCACCTCTGCGTCCATAGTGTAGTGACTGAGGCGGAAACCTAGGGCGATGGGACTTAGCGAGACAGCGCCCATAGTTTTCAAACGTTCCTGTTCCGCGCTTTCTGCTCACACTACGGGCCTAATCAGCAAGCGACCTAACGCGCGGAGGCGGCGGTAACAAACCAGTTCGGTCTTGTCGCTTGGCGTATGCATGAGTATTATTGTTCTCTGATGGCGGATACTAAATTGTTTATAAGTACAATTCAATCTAAACCACCTATTTAAAACTTAGGATGTAGTCAAATGTTGACACGGGCGTTCGAGTGTACTCAAAAAATTTGGTAGGGTAGAATGTCAGCTCTTCATACAAATGAAAAAATTCACCAGTTGTTTCTCTGTTTTTATTTATTCCGTGCACATCATCTCGAATTTTCAACACCTCCTAGCTCAGGATGGGACTGTAGGAAAAATACCAAATCGTCATCCATTGTTTGGAACTTCTGAAAATACGTCGAAACAGTCCAAGAGCTCTGGTGTCACTGTGCCGCTCGCCTCGCCCGCCTTATGCCCCAGTCACCGCGCATTCAGTATGGACGCACACTAACGTATTTCACCAGAGGAGATCCAGCAATAGAATCGAAAACAGTGCACATAACCCTGGGTGCTTCGCTTCACTAGTGCAAAAAGAAAATATAACGTTCTAACAGACTTTGTTCACCTTCCGAGTCTCAGTAACTTAGAAGATATGTATACCAAATTTCGAGAAGACTTGATTATATTTAGAGGTTACGAACTTTGATCTTGACTTGAAAGTAGTGGATAATAGAAATTACGAGTATTTATGGTATTCGTTGGAAAACTAGAAATCCAGTATCCATATCCTCTTAATACTAGGACTACCGGACAATGGGGTTTTGAAAACAGTGTGTTAAAAAATTTTGTTGCTATATAATCTCTTTTTTTTGTTCGCTTGAGGACCGCTCCTGTAATATTTGACTCCCCTCAACTTTTGTTTTTCGTCTCTGAAAAGTTCAATCCAAAGCTTATCCGTGGCTTCTTAGGAAATCCAAGCAGTATTCTTCCACGACGTTGATCAAAATAATTCAAGGAACGTATTTCTTATTTTGGTAATGGAAGGGATCATGTATTTTCCTTCAAAAACTAAATTATTACCCTCTTATCCTTTCAGTTCCTTCTTTTGCGTAGGTCTGGCATTCAAACTTTGATTCACGATTTCTTTGATTTTCACAATAATACGTTCATCCAAAACAGGTAGTCCTAGATTTATCTCTGACATTTTTTGGAGACCATCGACTTACAATTGCATCGTGCCAAAAGCGACCGCATATGAAAAAAATAAAATTGGTGATTTTGTCAATTTGTTGTCAATCATGTACAGGCTGTCCAAAAAGTGAACGATCATCCTGCACCCACAGGCCACCTCATGACCTACTATAGTGCAAAATTTTGTTGTACAAAATACTTATAGTTTTAGAGGTTTTCAGCATTTAATTTTCTTGTCCAAAATCTTGCTTGCATTCAGTCATATATAGTATTTCTACAAGTAGCAACCTTTTTGGACCTGATTTATTTTAAAGCACTCAGAATTAGGAATTCCCAGTATTATTGTTCCTGAAGATAAACCCGCATACGAGTAATACCAAAGTTTAAATTAAAAAAAAATGTCCTCACGTCTGATTTTGACATCCTGTAGTATGAGATCATGTGCCATTGCTGTGCCAACAAATCAAATAAGTTGGCTGGTTATTGTCTGTTTTTAAGCTGAATTATTGTTATATTCACCCTTCTGTTATTTTATTTTAATTGCAGTTTAGTGGAGCAGGGTCAGGTTAAGCAAAGATCAAAAAATGGAATTTTTGTAACCAATAAAGTACACAATTGATGTTGAAGGATGATATATTTATGTATTAATATTATGAACACCGTTTGTTGCTTATACATTTTTTCATTAATTATTTTTAAGCTGCAAAGGTAGCAACTACGTGGTCAAGGCTGGTGCAATGTGGGAACACATTCTTCTCACTAAACACGCGTGTTACATGAACACCACTTTTATGTAAAACCTATACCCTATAATTTATATATTATATAGATATAACATAGACTCGATTACATCGATGTCACAATTACGTAACCTCTATGTTGCTGAGTGTGGTAGCTCTGTAACTCAGTTAGGATGTAAGGATAATGTAGGACGTGTTATATAATATTAACATTCTTTTGTTATATAAAATATAGGTGAACAATTTCTATGAGTGTTTGTGGTGAGTATTGATGTTGCCGCATCGAAGTAAGCTAGTTTCGGCAATTTATATTAATAGTTTATTATAATGTTATCTGCCCAAGAAATTTTGAGAATTATTGGTTATTTTAGTTACAGTAGGTAACTAGTATATTTCTAATACAAATGACAAAAAAACTAAAGTCGTTGAGCTGCATTTTAAGATTTTGATATCAGACATAAATTCGCGTCGTTATTGAATATTGTTGTGAATACTACTGTACACTTTGATTGTTTATTTAATATGACCGTTTGAAAAAATTTTTGACCATATGGCAACATCGGTATGCTAATGATTTGTGCAGTTCTCAGCTACTGATATCTTGTGTTCGTGATTTGTGAAAACTGTTTTAAACCTACAACTCGGGGTCGTCCTCCAGGGGGTGAAACTCGTATGGGCGAATGGAAAACAAAGCAGTGTTGCTGGTCTACAATATGACAATCATGTCGCACCCTCAAAAAATTGTGGCTTATTCACAACTGATCTTATCTGATTGGCCAGATTTAATGTGACGGGTCTCTTCCTCTGATTTACAAAAATAACCTTACTTTTTTCAACATGTCATTTTCGTAACATTTCAGCTTATTTCAATAAATAAAGTCCCTATTATGCGTTTTGAGCTATATGCTTTCTGTTCAGAGTTGTGAAGTATAAAACCGTAAGTACACAAAGATGTAATATGTTTGTAAATAGTATAAAGCCACGTACAGACCGAAGATCCAACGCCGAGCAAACGAATTCAAGCACATGTGACGTTGGCGTTTGTTGTTGGAAGGTATTGGAATACGCTTGTATACACGCCGTCCACACCTAAATTTAGTTTTGAGTTGGACCGCGTCGGGTTAAGTTCGGTGCTAATGTCGAGCGACGAGTCCTCTCATCGAATGCAGACAAACGACTAAATACTAGAAGCGCAACAAATCCTATCCAGACCAAATCAAACCTCCCTTTGATGTACCGATCAAGGATCGAACTCAATCGAACGTCAACGCCGACCTTGAAAACCCTTGGCTTACGTTGGCTCGCGCCGTACACACCGATTCGAACACTTCCAAATCTATAACCACATGGGCATTGGCTTGCGTTGGAATACCGGTCTCCACGCGGCTTAAAGCAAACTCCAAACTCTTTTTTTAAGGTGATCCAAAGTGATCCCAATCAGTAGCCAAGCTTCTGGCACATCCTGGGGAAGATCATAGATACAGCGGTTACTTATTTAAGAAATTTAATACTTAGAGATCTTACTTGTTGGAATCTCCACATAACTTTCTGAGCAATCGAGCGCTTCGAAAAGTTTAACATCCGCCGTTGTCAACTACTGAGGTCCTGAGTATTATCAGAAGTTCAGAGATTACTTGCGATCTAACCAAAAGGCACAGCTGTGAAAAATATTTTTGCAGATCATAACTTTTGTAAGTTTTTATATGACTCGGTAACCATTGATGATTTGAACTGATTTTTGTCCAAGTTAGTTTTGATATTTCGTCGGCTATTTTCAGAGCAGCAGGGTTGATATGCAAATCTCACTATAGTTTCAGTGAAATCGAAGCTATACTGGAGATCATAAATGGCTGAGATGCAAATCAATTTATTGATCATTATTTTGGATGTATTTAATAAGGGAAGCATTAAAAATAAATTGACGATTAGAATCATAATTTTATTTTTGAAAGGCAATTTACTAAGAATGGAAGTAAAATATTAAGCACTGAAATATCTTGATAATTTATAGTCAACATGAAATATAGAAGTTATATGCTCTTAGTAACTACTCAGTTGCTACAATGTTGCATCATGCTTATTCCACTATGCTAGCAACTTCCTGTTGATCCATTGTTCTTTGTATTCCAATCTATTGTCTATTGTAAACCTATAATGCATAGTCATCGGAAAGCCACATGTGCCTGGGCTAAGATGCCTTGTTAGCAAAACCTAAAAATATAATAGGTCCTGCGAACCTATACCATTGTTCACACACCTGGCGCGACTCCGAAAAGTATGCGATGCGTAGTCAAAGTTCAATACCTGGTTAGACTCCGTGATAGTCATTCATTTTATCTTGTAATTTCGTAAAGGACTGAAGTGCAGTCCCCAAATAAAGTTTTTCAACAAGTGTTTGTCAAGCCTATTGATTTAAGA